TGTGATTTGGGTAACTTTCAGAGACTTTTGAACTTAACTTTTTGTTTAATCTATGGAGGTAGATTGTTTTCATTTTGCAGTACATGTCTAGTGATGTGTAACCTTATTTTTTTTTATAATGTTTAGTTATTACAGTCATGTTTTTACTGAGTCTAAGTGTTTACTACATAACCCAGGGAATGAACCCACCATTACTATGCCGACAAACAGTTCAGATGTAAATAATGTAAATAATGATTACTTCTAGTCATAGAAATTCAGATTTCTCGAATTTCAATAAGCAAAAAAACCTGAATCCTGAAACTTGCTAAAAGAAATTTTAGATAAAAAATTGCTAGATTTACAACTTAATCATTTATTTTCTTTGCTGCCAGAAATATTTGTTGGTTAGAAACTAAAAACAAATATGAAATCAAAGTTTCTTTAAAACTGTTTGATAGGAGATAAAGCTGAAGAAGGCCAAAGAGCAGAGTGGCTGAAATGAAACTGCAAAAATGAAATCACTAATCTGAATAATATAGGGAAGTTCTCTGTCATTCATGTAAAAAGATGCATCTTTATTTTGCTGATCATAATGTCTGTAGAATGTAAAAATTCATAATGAATACAGGTTGCAAAAATTCATAATAACTGCAGTTTGTAAAAATTCATGTTGACTGCGGAATGTAAAAATGCAAGTTGACTGCAGAATCTAAAAAATTGTAAATACTGCAGAATATAAAAATTCATAATGACTGCAAATTGTAAAAATTCATAGTCACTATAGATTGTAAAACTTCATATTAACTGCAGATTGTAAAAATTCAAATTGACTGCTGAATGTAAAAATAACCTGGGTGTTTCAACAGAAAGCAGACAAAATATAATTTAAGAAAATTTGTCAAAAATTATATACTATATTCAATTTCTAAATAATACAAGATTTATAATAATGATAATAATAATAATAATAATGATAAAAATGATAATAATAATAATAAATATTAATAATAATAATTACCACTCAGAAAATTTGTGAAAACTACAAGAATTTTACATGTTTTTTTCAGGTTAGCAGAACTTTTGTCAAAAAGCACTCAGTAGATAACTAGAATATTCAATTGATTAAGAAAAGTTCAAGTGACTTATCTGGTTAGCTGCTTATCAGGGTCAAATGTTTGATTGTTTCAAACATCTGGCCTGATGAGCATTATAATGCAAAACTCATGAGTTGGCTAACTAGATAAGGTACTTGAACTTCTTAATTTATTGAATAATACAACATTTTTAAAGTCTGTAGAATAACTTTCATAATATTTTCATATTAAATATATCTTGTTTATCATTACTCAAAGCAGATGTTAGTCTCTCCCTCATTTACCTAAAAATATTGCATGCAAAATAATGTCTTCCATTGAAATATCTGTGAAGATTATCAAATACAACATAAACATGAGTCTAAAGAGATTGTACTGGTGAAACCTTTTGTAACTGAAACAACAAAGAAGAATATGTGAGTTTGAATAATTCATCAATGTTATACTTTGAACTTTTAAATGTAAGATCTTTGAGCTTTTAAATGAAAGATCTTTCATCTGTTGTGGCCAGTTTAGAACATAAATCTATTATGAAATTATAAGTATCAAGGGATTGGCAAATTAATAATAAGATGTTTCCCATTTGTGTATGCATCATATTCAGAATATTTGTCATTGATAAATATAAAAAAAAGACACATTATCAGCATTTATTAAGACATTTAAACAAGTACTTTATTTTTATATGAAAATGTTAATTGATTTTTGCCTTTCTTTAAATAAATGAATAAAGAACAAGTAGGAAATTTTTCTAAATTCAACATTTCATTATTTACCAGGGATTTTGGAATGGAATGAATGAAAGTAATGTTCTGTTTCTAAATTCAATGTCTAACTTTAGAGAAAACATTTGACAATGAATATTTTCAGCTCATTTCTTTAAATGAAACTAAAATGAACTATATGTTTTCTAAATTTGAAATAAATTATTACTGTTAAACTCCTGATGGATTCATCCCTCTTCTTTCCTTTCTCTCGCTTCTTTATTTTATTTTATATTATTAATTTTATTTTTATTATTATTATTATTTTTTTTTTTTTTGATCTGGTCATCTACACTCTAGGATGGTTTCCCTCTGTTATTAGTATTAGTAACCTAGCTCAATGATTGGCCAATAATAATCTTGTAACTATTCCTAGGCAAATAACTTAGCAGTTCCACCTGTGTATATCTAGTTTTTTCAAAACTGCCATTTTGCCAAGGGGAATTAACTCAACAATTACCATTCCAACATAATTATTGGTCTTTTTAATAGATTTTGTTATGACAATGTATTAGCTGAGCCATTCTAGGGCCATTTTTAAAGCATGATTGTAAATATTAGTTAAATTTTGAACTTCTGTTTTAATTCTAATATTATGGCATTTATGCATTGATAAGATGTTAATAAATTCTTATTCTCTGGACAGAAAAGTATCAATCAATTGTGAAATACAATAAAAATCCCACGGAAAGGACTGAAGAATATCTTCAAATTTGGTTTCTTGATTTCCATAATAACGACTTCAAAAAACTGGAGCTCCTATATGAACATTTCAAAGTATTTGGGTGTCAATCTGAGGACAGTGCATAGGATTCAGAAAGAGTCTAATGGTGATTGCAAAGGTGTTTAGAGTGATCACTAGTGATGGCAACATTATGCCTCCATTTATCTCCTGACAGGGCCTGAGATTCAACATGGAGGCCTACATCAGTTGCCTTGAGGAGGTAGCGCTGCTCTGGGTCAACAGAGTGGCTGGGAGAAGACCCTATGTCTGGCAACAGGACTCTGTACTATGCCACACAAGCAGAAGAACCCAGTCATGGCTGTTAGACAATTTCTGCAACCACATCACCCCTTATATCTGGCCACCTAACTCCTCAGATTGCAACTCCCTTGATTATTATGTGTGAAACACAGTTGAGTGACACACCAACAAAACTCCTTGTAACACCAAAGATGAACAGCAAGCAAGGATTATGACAGCATTCACCAACCTTGTTTGGACTGTCTTCCTCATCTTTATTGCCATATTCACAGCTTTTTGGCTGTTATACATTCCAGACTTCTTCAGGTGATTGGAATTTCGAACTGAATGCTTTATTTTGTCTACTGGGGTAGATTGTTCTAGTTGCACATGCCATGCCTCTTCTGGATGTCGGAAAAAGATTTTGACATATTCTAATTCAAGAATTTCAAGAAACTTTAGGTCTTAGAATTATTTTTGTTTTTATAATTCATTAATTTCTTCAATGTTGATAATGGCTAAATGAATAGTTTATATTTGGGACATTTCTTACATATCCCAACAAACAAACTTTATACATTTGTACAGAAACGAGAAAAATTAACCATTTGAGCCCTGACTGCCACTTTACCAGTGGTAGAGAAAAATGATGTAATACCCAACCATTGGTTGAACAATGGTAGAGAAAAATGATTTAATGCCCAGCCACCAGTTGAATGTGGGGTAAACACTTGCAATTTTTTTCATATCTACCATGAAACATTACATACCAATTATTTGCAAATTTTGACTCAGTAAGTCAGGCCAAAGTGTTAAAATTGTTCAGGAATGCAGGGATCAAAGGGTTAAGTAAAAAATTAACATTACCTATATTTGATACTATTTACATTATTCGGACTATCATCCTCATCTTTGTTGCCATATTTATCACATTTCAGCCATTTTAGGCTCAGGCCTTCTTCAGTCGAACTGAGCCCTTTATTTCGCTCACTGGGGTAGACTGTTCTAGTTCCACGTGCCATGTCTAATGGATGTCAGTTATCAGTTATACCCTGTTAATTCCCCTCTCCAAGTTTTCCAGCACTTTAACAAGGTATTGAACTCACACTCTTTGGATTCTGTCACTGGATCTAACTAACACCATTATCCACTGTACCATTTGTTCTTGAGGACATCTGTGTATGAATTTCTGGGAAATTATAAACCTAATGTCTTCAGCATCATACTTTTACCAGTGCTCATATTGCAATTTTTTGCTGTTATTGAATGTTTTTTACCAGAGTTCAGTTCAACATTCCAATGACCTGAAGAAGGCCGGAGCATACAACAGCCAAAACGTTGTGATAAATATGGCAACAAAGATGAGGATGATAGTTCAAACAATGTAAATAGTGTACATAATACCTCATCTTAGATATATAGACAGATACCTATATTTGAGTTTTCATCAAACATGTTTAATGAAGGACTGTTTACTAATTGCATATTCATTTTCCATTTTTTTCTTGCATATTTTATTATACTAAACTTCATCCAATATAAGACCCAAGAGCCATTCATGATAGATTATTTTTGATTGATTGATTGGTTTTACTTTCTATGGTATCTTATGTAAAGCCCGAGATTTTTTATATTTTAAGAATGTTTTTGAAATAATAATAGTTTAATGATACAAATCTTACTAATTAACCCATAGCAAGGGGAAGAAGAAGTGGATTCATACTTTTCCCAAGGGTATTTATGTGTAAGTGAATATAACGAACCTAACCTGAATTTGAACTGGGCTCTACAATTAACGATTCCAAGCTAAGGACACATTCAATCTGACAGCACCTGATATTCCCAAATGGCCACTCATTCATGATGTTTACTGAATGTGATGTGTGATATGTGAGGTGATTCATTTATATATGAAATCATAAAGACTATAAATAGCTACAGCTATTACCCATGAGGTAGTTGAGTGCATACTACTGTCTGTGAGTCAGTAACACTACACTACAGTATGAATGTAAGGAGGAAATAAGCATATGTATTTATTTTTTGTTTATATTTAAGTTCACTCAATACAAAGCTCAGGAGTCATTCAAGTTAGAGGCATAGTATTATAATGGTTATGATGAATGACATATGTGATGGGAATGAAAAAGAGGTTGCAGGAAGGAAAGATTAATAGGATAAGACATAATGACTGACCATTGATAAGGAAGACAGATAATGATTGACCATTGGTAAAGAAGACAGATAATGACTGACCATTGAAAGGAAGGCAGATAATGATTGACCATTGATAAGGAAGGCAGATAATGATTGACCATTGATAAGGAAGGCAGATAATGATTGACCATTGATAAGGAAGACAGATAATGCTTGACCATTGGTAAAGAAGACAGATAATGACTGACCATTGAAAGGAAGACAGATAATGATTGACTATTGATAAGGAAGGCAGATAATGACTGACCATTGAAAGGAAGACAGATAATGATTGACCATTGATAAGGAAGGCAGATAATGATTGACCATTGGTAAAGAATACAGATAATGACTGACCAGTGATAAGGAAGGCAGATAATGATTGACCATTGATAAGGAAGACAGATAATGATTGACCATTGATAAGGAAGGCAGATAATGACTGACCATTGATAAGGAAGACAGATAATGATTGACCATTGGTAAAGAATACAGATAATGATTGACCATTGATAAGGAAGGCAGATAATGACTGACCATTGAAAGGAAGACAGATAATGATTGACCATTGATAAGGAAGACAGATAATGATTGACCATTGGTAAAGAATACAGATAATGACAGACCATTGATAAGGAAGGCAGATAATGATTGACCATTGATAAGGAAGACAGATAATGATTGACCATTGATAAGGAAGGCAGATAATGACTGACCATTGATAAGGAAGACAGATAATGATTGACCATTGGTAAAGAATACAGATAATGATTGACCATTGATAACTAAGGCAGATAATGACTGACCATTGAAAGGAAGACAGATAATGATTGACCATTGATAAGGAAGACAGATAATGATTGACCATTGGTAAAGAATACAGATAATGACTGACCATTGATAAGGAAGGCAGATAATGATTGACCATTGATAAGGAAGACAGATAATGATTGACCATTGATAAGGAAGGCAGATAATGACTGACCATTGATAAGGAAGACAGATAATGATTGACCATTGATAAAGATGACAGATAATGACTGACCATTGATAAGGAAGGCAGATAATGACTGACCATTGATAAGGAAGACAGATAATGACTGACCATTGAAAGGAAGACAGATAAGGATTGACCATTGATAAGGAAGACAGATAATGACTGACCATTGAAAGGAAGACAGATAATGATTGACCATTGATAAGGAAGGCAGATAATGATTGACCATTGATAAGGAAGACAGATAATGATTGACCATTGATAAGGAAGGCAGATAATGACTGACCATTGATAAGGAAGACAGATAATGATTGACCATTGGTAAAGAATACAGATAATGATTGACCATTGATAAGGAAGGCAGATAATGACTGACCATTGAAAGGAAGACAGATAATGATTGACCATTGATAAGGAAGACAGATAATGATTGACCATTGGTAAAGAATACAGATAATGACTGACCATTGATAAGGAAGGCAGATAATGATTGACCATTGATAAGGAAGACTGATAATGATTGACCATTGATAAGGAAGACAGATAATGACTGACCATTGATAAGGAAGGCAGATAATGACTGACTATTGATAAGGAAGACAGATAATGATTGACCATTGGTAAAGAAGACAGTTAATGACGACCATCGAAAGGAAGACAGATAATGATTGACCATTGATAAGGAAGGCAGATAATGACTGACCATTGATAAGGAAGACAGATAATGATTGACCATTGATAAGGAAGGCAGATAATGATTGACCATTGGTAAAGAAGACAGATAATGACTGACCAGTGAAAGGAAGGCAGATAATGACTGACCATTGGGTTCATTAGCCTGGGCCTGAGGCATCTTCAACATTTTTCCACATTATTGCCAGTAAACCTACTTTAAACCTTGACCTTATGTCACATTCATTAGTGACATGGACATACTGAAAATTCCAGCATGTAAAGAACTGGTTTAAAGGAGGGAGGGAGGGAGTCAGTCATACACATGCTGCATCTTGAAAACTTTAATAATCTGGAGCTGAGGGTTATGCCTTGCTTCTGCAACAAACTTGGGGCTGTTTTGTTCTTGGCCTTCAGGCTGGGAGCAAAATGTATTATCTGTCCTTCACCTCTCTGCTGTGTTTCTCTTCTTTTTTTTTTTTTGATCAATTCACCCTCAAGCAATGCAACAATGTTACCAAGATGCAAGACGCTACTGGGAATGAAAGAGAATGAAAAGCTTTTAAAAGGAACCAGAAACCTGATCTTAAACAGAGACCAAGGAACAAACCTCTACTCCTGTGCAAAAGGTCAAGGAGGAGTGTGAATCTGTCTTCAGAAAGTTCACAGAAAAGCTTTGAGGAAGGCTTGGCTCTATGGATTCCAACCCTGTGGTAACACCTCCTTCATTGCACTAAATCAGGAAGGTTGAAGACAACATGACAGTGATCCCTGGGACTGAGCAATATTTATCCACAGTATCTGTCTATATTTCTGAGATGAGGTATTATGTACACTATTTACATTATTCGGACTATTGTCCTCATCTTTGTTGCCATATTTACCACAACAATTTGGCCGTTGTATGCTCCGGCCTTCTTCAGGTGGTTGGAATGTAGAACTAAACCCTTTATTTCGCTCGCTGGGGTAGACTGTTCTAGTTCCACATGCCACGTCTAATGGATGTCAGTTATCAGTTATCTCGTTAATTCACCTCTCCAAGTTCTCCAATTGAATTAGCTACAACAACAGCTTGGATGGTCAGTGATTCTAACAGATCATCTCCAATTACCACATTGATAGTCAGTTAGTCTTCATTAAGAACAAATGTCTTTTCTCAATCAAAGCTTTTTATGATGGACCAATAATTTAAAAGTTTTTTTTTTCTAAAGCACAGAGTTTCACGCATTTCATAATTAATATATTACTGGATTTAGTCCTCTGTATTATTGTTGCTTTTGATTAATGAGTCACTTTTGCATCTTTAGTAATATCTAAAATTGATTAGGGATCAGATAATCTGGAACAAGGCTAACATAAAGGTGAAATTTGTGATGGTTATACTTGTTAACCATGTCTGTTTAGTAAGTATCCAGAAATGTGTGGCCACATGACATTGAAACATCTGTTCCTATGTGATCACCAAAGTTAAGCAATGTTGAGCCTGGTCAGTACCTTGATAAGTGTCCGTTTGTGGGAATATCATGAGCTGTAAGCTTGGATGCCCAGGTTGTGTAATGGATAATGGTTTGGAATTGTTAATGGCAGTTGGGTTTGTTATATTCACTTACATGCAGTTACCCTTGAGAAAGATATGAATCTACCTTTTTTCCCCTCAGCTATGGGTTAATTAGTAACAGTTCTATCACTAAACCATTACCTGCCAAAAAAGTGATCTTTCTGGTTTCGAATAACCGACAAAGGGCTGATAAGGTATAGAAAAGAAATCAAACCATATACGTGTGTGTGTATGTGTGTGTGTGTATAAAGAAAATGCATAAGCCATAGGAAGCTTAAACGTATATGTATTTTTGGGACAGCCTGTATAAAATGTATATATAGATATTATAAATATTGAAGTTTCTCTTCATGTATATTAATCTGTATCTGGTTGTCTGGTAGGTATATCTACACATAATTTGTATAATAATGATAAGTGTGTCTGTGTCTGTATAGAAACTTGTATACGGAGACAGTAATACAGACACACAAAGATGTGTGTCTGTATTGTTGTGTAGATTTATGCATTCTCTGAATGATTACACGAAGGAGGTAGGAATTGAGGCTCTCCGAGGATTAATCGCCAACCCCTCCCCTGACAAAAATCCACATTCAACATTCAGTAAAAGATGCTTTCCTCTTTCAAGGCATCTTATCGCAGACCTGGCACCGAAAAATCCACTCATGTGCAAAAGAAATTAAGGAAAAAGAACAAATAAAATCTGTAAAAGCTAAAACAACAAAAAAAAACAAAACAAACAAGTACACACATTTTTATACACTTTTACATATACACATATACATATAAATATTTTCACTCTATATGAATTCATGTTATATATATATATATATATATATATATGTATATTTAAAAGAAAGGATATTACCCAAATATACATTTATCTCTCTCTCACTCTTTCTCTCTCTCTCTCTCTCTATATATATATATATATATATAGAGAGAGAGAGGGGGGGAGAGACAGAGAAATTGTACTGTGTTTGATATTGTATGCGTATGGATATGTGTGTGCATGTGTATGTGTCTGCTATCATCCTTACAAATCCTACTATGTATATGAGATATATGTGTGCATGTATGTTGTTCATGCCTTGCTATAGGCTCTAACATAAATATTTACAGGAAGATATTTTCCTATTCTTTCTATCTATTTAGCTGATGTAAACATATACATGCATTATATATATATATATATATATATATATATATATATATATATATATATATACATATATATATATAAATACATATACATTATATATATATATAATGTATGTGTATATATATATATATGTATATATAATGTATATATATATGTGTGTGTGTGTGTGTATACATATATATGATGTGTGTATATATATATATGCATATATATATATATATATATATATATATATATATATATATATACATAAAACATATGCTCACATGCAAACATATATGTATAAATTGACGTTTATCCAAACATACATGTCGTTGTGTTTATGAATGTATTTATGTTCACACAAAGATATATCCTTCTCTCTATCTACTATCTATCTATTTATCTATCTAAATATCTATCTCACTCACTCTATATATGTATGTGTACTTGTTTACTTATATATACATATATATATAATATATAATATAATAAATTACATTATAAATATAAGTACATTATAAATATTAATACATACATATTAATCAGTGTATATATATATATATATATATATATTCATGTATATCATATATATATATATATATATATATATATATATATATATATATATGTGTGTGTATATATATATATATATATATATATATATATGTGCATAGACACACTTCTATGTATAATAAGTTACAAAATAAAGTTTCCCTATCTACCATTATAAAGTTCCTCAGGGGATAAAACCCATTGGTGAAGAAAAGTTTAATAAAAATATTTAACTCAATGAAGGCAATAATGTCACTAAGATGCAAGCATCTACTGGGAGTTAAAAAGAATGAAAACACTTTAGAAGTATCCAGAAACCTAATCCCAAACTGGGAACAAGGGATAAACCTCTACTCCTGTTCAAAAGACTAGTGAGATATGTGAACCAGGTGATAAGTGAACTTATCTAATCCTATTAAATATAAAATGTAGACAAATGTACGTATGTAGATGTGTACATGAATATGTCTTTCTTTATATATCATTATTTTTAGAGGCATGAACATATTATATATGTATACACACAGATGCATATATATATATATATATATATATATATATATTTTTAATTAATTTATATATTTAATATAATTATCAAATCCTCCTATCTCCAGCTATTCAAGTGTAATGTCAATCTACATCTCCAGTTGCCTTAATCTATCTACTACCCTCATCCTTTCTTCTATCACTCCTATCTGATCTTGCTATTTTCTGTAACCCCTTGCGTCCTAGTGGTTTCCCGCCTTGCTTGGGGTGAAATGCTTAAAAAAAAAAAAAAAATATATATATATATATACACACACACACATTTTTTGCATTTTACTTCCTATGAGTGTGTGCATCAGTGCATATTGAAGTGTATTCATCCTATCCTTAAAATCAAATATCCAAATTTTGTGGAGAATCACTTCTCTGTTGGACTGAGAACTTATCAGTACCACATCATACATATATATATACATACACACAAACACACACACAGATTTGTATGTGTGTGTGGAGAAAGAGAGAGAGAAAGTAAATATATGTTTAAATATAGAATCGAGGATTGAACTCCAATATGACTAACAATGAAAGCCCCTTACCTCATGGGCAGGAAATAACAAACTCAATAAAATCCTATTTATCCAAATGAACCAAAGTTCTGCCTGAAAATAAATTAGAAAACAGTTGGTGAGGTCGTGCAAGGTTAATACTCTCAGACCTTCTCTCTTCTCCCACAACTTAATCTGATAAGCAAGGAAATATGATTTTGCAAAGTCCTCTACACTTTGCTTCATTGCTGATTGAGATTATTTTTTTACACTGCATTATGCAAAGCTACACCTCTCTTATTTGTTTTATCATTACAGATGAATATGTATGGGACTAATCCACTAATGTTTCAGATGTTCTATATATATATATATATATAGAGAGAGATATAGATATAGATATATATATATATATATATATATATATATATATATATATACAAACATACATACATACATACATACATATATATATATATATATATATATATATATATATATATATATATATACACACACACACATATTTGTGACTAAATTAATATACATTCAACTTCAGTTAATAGCTGTATCAATCTATATATTTATTTATCTGTTGTCATACATATATGTATATAAATGTGTGTGTGTGTGTGCAAAATCATGATATAAATGAATATAACTGTAAAGACAATATTAATAAAATGGATGATAAGAAAAAGTATTCCTTTTGTCATTTCTTATATATATATATTTACACACACACACACACACACACATATATATATATATATATATATATATATATATATATATAATTATTACATTGCAAAAAAGGCATGTATGTGTGTGTAAATATGTTTTAAATATTGTTGACATAGAAAAC